CCTGTCAGGTACATGGGACGACAAGATGGAGAGTGCCAAGATTGTGCAGAGTAGCAGAGGAAGCAACAGCTCTGAGGGCAAACAGAAGACTGTCTATCAGACGCTCACACCCAAACTGCTGTGGAAGAAATACCCTCTACCGTAAGACACACACCATTGATGTCTGGTATTAATGTCTAACTTTTAATGCAACTCAATTTCCAACATAAAAATCAATAAAGTACAGGCCTACTTCCATATACTAAGTGAACTACTGACATAACTACCACACTACCTACTGACAAACCAAACCGCATGCCACGTTACCTACAGACTGACTGGGCTTACGTATCAACTAAACGAATGACCAAAACGACTGAATCTTCCTACCAGACTAACTCCCTATAGGCAGAGTTACCTGCCTACAAACCAGACTAAATACATACCAAACTAAGTCTAACGGTAGTTTGTTCAGTAGGTAGGTAGTTCATTTTGCAGTTACATTGGTAGCTACTTAACTACTTAGCCTGTCAAACCACCTATAGACTAAACGACCTACTTGCAGAATTACCTTCCTGACTACCTACTTACCTACCAAACCAACTACTGAACCAAGGCATTACCTTAGACTTACCTGCCAGACTATCTGAAGAACTACAGTATTCAGCCAGCATAAACGAGTACATCCCCTTTACGTGGTCTGAGCTGGCAAAAGCTATGAAAAGAGTGACTCTTTCTTCTCACTAAGTAAGATGACATGTAGAGAAGTGAAATGTAACTTCCTACTGTAGCCAAAGCACAATAAACTCATTTAGCCTTTTCCAAGGCCCATATTTACGAAACATAGACTTCTGGGAATCCATACTCTGGTCTCATGAGACCAAGCCAAGCATTTTGGATCTAAAAGCATCCAAAATGGTATGGTGTTGCTAGGGTAGGGTAGTTAGTTTGCTAGGATGTTGGTATATATTTAACTACATATCTGCCAAACTACTTACAGTCTAAACAACATATCTACTGACAGACCAAAACTGCCTACCTGCAGAACTAACTACCTTCTTCACTTCCTACTTACCAACTTAATCTCAACAAATTATAATGTTAGATTCTGATTTTTTGTGCATTTTTCCTCTTCTTCTCTCTATCTCTCAGAGAGAATGCTGAGAACATGTACTATTTCTCCTCTCTGGCTTTGACCCTGAATGAGGAAGAGGAGGGTGTGTGTTGGACAGACAGCAGGCTGAGGCCAGACCAGCAGCTGATGGAAGCGGGACGCTGGGACGAGGCCAACGTAGAGAAACAAAGGCTGGAGGAAAAACAGAGAGCCACAAGGAGGAGGAGAGAAGCTGAGGCCAGCAAGGCCATAGACAAAGGTGAGGGGAAGGCCAAGGTCACACAAGATGGTCTTCTGTGACATTTTGGTATTCTGTGACATTTGGTTGGTATAGGTTTTTTGTGAATGAAAACCATGAAAATATAAATTCCACTTTTGTGCCAGTTTAGTCAGAACAATCCCTGATCTTAAGACTGTTCTCCTGGTGATTTTATTGTTGTTTTGTGTTACAGGACAGGACTTTGAAGATTACAGGCCGCTGTGGTTCCACCAGAGGACAGATGAAATGACGGGAGAGACTATCTACGTTTATAAGGGGGGTTACTGGGAGGCCAAAGAAAGACAAGAATGGAGTATGTGTCCCGATATCTTCTGAACACACAAAACAATTGACTAACTCTGCAGATAAAGACAAAAGAGGAATAAACCCTCTACATGGACTAATCAGGGCCTTGGGACTGCAGAAGTAGTGGAGACAGGTTATGAACACCTGCGCTGTTTGATCTCTTAGAGTGTGTGTGTGTGTGTGTGTGTGTGTGTTTGCAGCCCAATGACATATATATTTGCCTGACTCTCAAACAGACTACTAAAATGGGAGAATGGGAAAATGTTCTCTCCGAAGTTCACTTCAAATACAAGTGTGTGGGAGAAATGCGCAGTTGAACTCTTCTAACCAAGTGCCGCCCCAGTTTATCTTCAAAAGCAAATCAGGTTCTTTTTATTCAGTACAACCCCATCATAAATGCACTTTCCTCTCTTCCCAGCATCTCTTACAGTGACGTACACTGGACTGAATCTTATTTATAAAGAGATCATATCAAAGACACTCCTCCCCGTCCCATGCTGGCTTGGGCAGCACATGAACAAACACATATGAAGCAGAGACTCAACTCGACACAATGCAGCTGCAACATTTCTGTGAATTATCAGATTGTTCAGCTTGTGTACTACTTTTAGTTTCATTCCTATCAACAAAAATACCATATTTGGGCAAAGGAAGTTCTTGTATTTGTATATCCTAGAGAATTACAGGAGCACAATCAGGCTTTTATTGGACACACAGCTGAGGACTTTCTCCCTGGCTCCGCCCACTTTGCACAACTAATGGAAGTTAAAGGGGTCATATAATGCTACATGCACTTTTACAAGTTGTTTGAACTGAAATGTGTTTTGGCAGTGTGTGTACACAACCACTCTAAAAGGATAAAAATCCACCCAGTGGTTTTCTGTTAATCTACTAAAATCTTTACCCCTTTCTCAAATCGAGGCGATCTCAGATGCCTGTCTGTGTGACATCACACAGACAGGCCCCTCCCACGATAGTTTGATTGACAGTAGCGTTTCAGCACAGACTGGACTGGTGTCTTACCTTAGACCCGCCCTGAGTGAGCTGTCATCAGTCCGCCATTGTTTCACTGCCGGAGGAGATGTAGAAAATAATGACTCTTAAGCGATTGAGGTGTTCTGTTGTTGGATGTAATAATGAACACACAACTTGTGGAAAATGGGCATCCTATGACCCCTTTAATGGCGCTTTTTCCCTGCATGGTACGGCACGGTACGGTTCACTTTTGGGGGGGTTTTCCACTGGGTACAGTACCTGGTACTTTTTTTTAGTACCACCTCGGTTGGGGTTCCAAGTGAACCGTACCGTTACCAAAACGTGACGTGTAAACTCTGCTGATCACGGATTGGCCGGAGAGAATCGCCACTACCTGCGTCACTGAACTTTCGACACAAACACAACAGAACCGCTAGATTTAAATCAGCACAGCCAGCGAAGGATCGAATGCAACTGTTTTGATCGAGCGCACCTTTTTATAACAACCAAAACGTTTTGTTGTCTGTTGCGGAAGAACAGACTTTCCTCTAGAGCTTGATGGGGCGACGCGGAATGAAAACGTTTTTTTTTAGGAGTCGTGGTAGTAGAGGCGGCACAACTATAATGTCATGTGAATAATTCCACCCACTCTAAAGCGGTACTGAACTGCAGTGGAAACGCAAGCCGTGCCGTGCCGAGCCGTACCACGCAGAGGAAAAGCGCCATAAGATTCATCTCATGTCTTCAGTTAGCCAATGAGCTTCAGGCAAGCATTAAAAGAGCCCTTGTGGACAGTGTAGGTATTCTGACACAAATGTGTTTTACATTCATGAATTGTTATGCACATTAATGAGCTGCTTCCTGCATTGGCTTGGTGGAGTCCCCACTGGTCATTGTGCCACAGTACAATGCATATCAATGCAATTAAACAAATACTTTTTTGTACAATCAGGATACTTAATGAATGAACGATCAACCAATAAAAGTAAACAAGTCACCCGCTTGACTCTCAGAGGACATGGCAAACAGTCATCCACTCACAATACAAAGTGTACTACTGAAAACACAAGCAAACAGCTTGCTGACCTTGTTTTGTGTTTATAATATGCTTGTATTTAATAGCAGTAGAGACAGTGGATTAAAACACCCAAGTGTTCCTGATGAAGGGGATTGCTGCATTTCACATTACAATGTGGCAATAGAGAAGTACACAGTAGTACATTTTTTAAAACTGGTATTTCAGTGCCCCGTAACAGAAAGACCTATTTTAAATTTCTTCTGGCGGTTATAAATCATCAGGACTCAGGAGTGATACAAAATTTGGTATTTCAGTTGTTTTGCTGAACACTTTGAAACTGTAGCCTCCATTGCAAAGTTGTATAACTTCAGTTACGTTCACAAACAAATCAACAGTATTTATTTAGTTTAGAAAGTCCTGTTCTAAGGCAGTGGGTTGAGACCTGACATCTCTGGAGATCAGTTCTCACTTTATTTCTGATCGCTGTCAAAAAATTAGAATTAGACTGGAGGTCTTGTTTTGCGCTCACACCACAATATGTATTTTGTGATAACCATAATTATTATTACTATTATGAAGGAAACAAAAGTAATGATGCCTTGACATCCCAATAAATGCTGTTTTGGTATAAACCTGAATTTTAACCAAGATGTTTACTTGTAAATGGATCTTTTAATTTAAAATGATCCAGCCAGTCAAAGTTTCATTTTTGACAAGCTGTCAGTGTATGATTATAAATGTTAATATTTCAGATTAAAACTCGCTGACTTGGATACTGGCAGGCACTTTTTATGTCTATATACAGTTGTTAGGAATGTTTTGGTATCATGCAGAATGACTGAAGGGGGTGTGATGATTTGTTTAGAATTTTTAGTGAACCCTGGTTCAGGCAGTGTGTTGGAAAGTAATGTACCTACAAGAACTATTTTTCATCACCAGCAAGGCTTTTCTGTAAGATTTTATGACCTCCGACCACTGAGATATGTTACTACTTTTAAACAGTTTGTTAACGCAGGCATATCCTTAGTTTGTTTCCATGTCAGCTCTAAAACATTGAATGAAGCGCAATGCAACAATTTATGGTTTCTTTGTTCACACTTTCCCACCTATACATGTAAAAGTCATTTTCCTTGAGGTTATTTATAAAAACAAATAAAACCCTACATTTTTGTTACATGGTTCAAAGATTCAAGATCTGAGGTGGTAAAAACAAAAGTGCTAAATTAAATGTTAGTGAATTCAATTAGGATTAAATAAAAGTTGTTTCAATTTCAGAAAAGAAAGATTTACATCTTAAAGCTTTTTCTCAAAAATAGCAAGAGTCATTTAAAATGTTTTATAACCCCAGCTTCACAGGCTTGATTTTATTGTGTAATGATAATATAGAGATATGCAAAATGTGGAATGTAAATTACCTAAACAATGCACAAACTGAAACGATAGATAGAAATCAAGAGGAGTACTGTTAATAAATAATTAAAACAAAAACCGGAATGAATTCAGTAGCTCACAATCCACACACCAAAATCTCACATCGAATTCATGAGTTTAAAAAAAAAACAACAACAACATTCTGGAGAGGCAGAACAGAGTAACTGAACAGATCTGTGAGTTAAAATCACTAAAAACATCTCCATTTACAATACAATTAAAATTAATTGACTTTGAGAGTTTCACAACTCTCAGCCTTTAAGCTTTGCCCTGAACAGCAACACAATTCAATGCATTTCATCAAATTAATTAAGTTCTAAATGACGTCATCTGAAAAATTCAATCCACCACCCACCCATCAGAATGCATTCAGCATGTTAGGCACTTAGAAATATCTGAGCTTCCTGTGGGCTAGCAGGGGTTCTTGAGGAGATTTTTCAAACACAAAGAAGATCAGCTGCAGCAGGATTTGAAACAGAGCCTCATGAAGTTCTATCTATACGACCCAACAGAAACAAGATCTGGGCTAATCAGCATTAAGAATGAACAAATTTAGTGCAACATTTAAGCAAGTAATTGTTGCCAACATCTGACAAATACTGTGCCCGAATGCATTACATCTGTTGTTATCCAAGCACAGTACCATTCAACACTATGAATGAGCCGCAATCATGTTTCAACACTGTGGAGGATGAACGCAGCAGGATGAAAATGCTGGAATTTACACAAGCAGTTAAAAATTCACTTGCTCTACTGCAAACTGACATAAAAGTTAAACCTTGAAGTCACTCATGGAATGTGCTCAGCTATGGAGAGTCGACCATCTCTGCATAGCCAACAGGCAACATGGTAGAAAAAAGATATTCACAACCAGCACTTCTGTGAAGAGTTAATATATTCAACAGATATACATTTTTTTTTTTTTAAAAGCACTTGAGAGTCCTATTTACAGTCCAGAGCGGTTGCTTTATCTCAGTGTGTTTATGATATGGTTGCATGTCCTAAACTGATCAAGCATCTGATGTGGCTCAGTATGTCAATGCTGATCTGGTATCTCCATATAATCCCTAAAGAGTATTTGGCTGGACCACTTTGGCATGTAGTGCAACACCACTGTATGTAAATCTGTTCAAATGAAGCTCACAGATCCGCTCTGGTCTGGTCTTTAGCATCTCATAGTTCATAACAGCCCCTCATTTTCAAAGCTGGTGTGCAAGAGAGAGAAGGCAAACGGTACAAACTTGACGCCAGTGCCGCTGTAGAACTTATTCTGAAACTCCACCCTGAGGAAAGAGAGATTATTTCAGTTTGATTCATTCAGTACAATGTAATAATGTGTTTTCAGTTACATACTTTGCTCTGATGACTAAATATGGATGTCCAAACCACTCCTGAGCGTGAGGGACTACAATAGTACACTGTTTTGTGATGGTGGTGTATATCTGAGGTAATGTACTGACCAGTGGAGTCTGAGAGCATGAAGGAAGGCTGAAAGTCCCTCCATCACCAGCAGGATGGATACAGTGAGGACAGCAAACAGACCAACAACAGGCACCAGAAACACAATGCCCACCCTGGTGTCCACACGCAGACCGACCCGCATCACCATTGCCCACAACACTTCAGAGAGCTCTGGACCACAACAAAAAGTTCCTTGTCATTCAGCATTCCTTTATTTTAAATGGACTATATTCTAGCCATTTTATGAGCAATCTGGGCTTCAATTTGTATTGGTTTAATATTTTGGATTCTTAAAGACCAGTTGTTCTCAACTTGCTTAACCTAATGGCGCTTTTCCACTGCATGGTACGGCACGGTACAGCTCGGTACGGTTCACTTTTGGGGGGTTTTCCACTGGGTACAGTACCTGGTACTTTTTTTTTAGTACCACCTCGGTTGGGGTTCCAAGTGAACCGTACCGTTACCAAAACATAACGTGTAAACTCTGCTGATCACGGATTGGCCGGAGAGAATCGTCACTACCTGCGTCACTGAACTTGCGACACAAACACAACAGAACCGCTAGATTTAAAGGGGTCTTATTATGCTCTTTTACAAAGTCTTGATTTTGTTTTGGGGGTGTACTAGAACATGCTCTCATGCGTGGTGGTTCGAAAAACGCATTATTTTTCACATAATTTACATTATTAAAATACCTTTCTCCCCAGCCTGGCACAAACGGCTCGATTAGTTCCGGCTTTGATGAACGCCCACCTTCCGAAAAACAAAATGTGTTGTGATTGGTTAGCTGTCCCAGTGCGTTGTGATTGGCGAACAGCTTAGACGGTGTTCATACTGCCACGCCCCCTTGCTCAGTCTTTCAACAAAAGCTTTTGGGAATCCGGCACTTCTCACTCGTGCTGTGGAAGCTGTCCTCAGTAAAATGCGCAGCACACAATAGCAAATTGGGGTTATAATGCTCAGGAACAGAGTTAAAAAGTAAATTGCAACCACTGTTTCCTGACATCATCCGCTTTCGGAAGCCCAAACAAAGACGTTTAGGCACGGAGGTGAAAAAAAACAGCGTTTCAGGCGGTCGCACACCGGACGAGAAGCGCAGCGTCGTGCCACGTCTTTAAAATTCAAATACATTATTATAATACAATGTAGGCACACCGGCGGCGCCGTTCGGCGTCTGTCCGTGGCGCCCAGCTACATCGTGTTGTACTTGTAAGAATTGTCCTAGAACAGCGGTTCTCAATTCCAGTCCTTGCGTTCCCCCGCTCTGAATAAAATTCTGTCCATTGTATTGCAGTATTCAAACAATAAATGCTGTTTTGGCGCTGTTTAATGTGGAGTGACAGATCGCTGTAGCGCCTCAGATCAAAGCGGCAGCACGAGGCGCACGTGAACTGATCATCTCCTCAACATTAATACCAGGTTCAGCACAAAATAAACATGACTAAATATCCGAAGGTAAGTTAAAAGAAAGTGTACAACTTTACAATCCATATCCTGCCTCATGTAATTGCTCAATCTGTGTTTCAGACACGCAAAGACGCCAATATAACAGCTTGTAAACAATATGTCACGTATGTAACGTCACATGATTTACCTCAGAAAAAAAATTGGGTTACCATAAACTCATTAGTCAGATAGAAAAATAAACTGTAGAGAGGGGCATTTTGCTTAATATATGCACCATATAACATATTCATTATAATTTTAAAGATCAAAGACAATTTTTAATATAACTCCGACTGGATTCGTCTGAAAGAAGAAAGTCATATACACCTAGGATGACTTGAGGGTGAGTAATTTATGGGCTAATTTTCATTTTTGGGTGAACTAACCCTTTAATACACATTAGAAATATAAAATATATTAAAATAATAGGGTTGGGTAAAAAAATATCGATTTCTCGATTTTAATCTATTCTCATTTTTACGAAACGATATCGATTCCTAAATCCCAAGAATCGATTAGTCTAGCCTGTTTTCAGTTAATGGACGGAACATTGAAGGGTACTTCCCATCCAATAAATCGCAATAAGCATTGTGCTTTGGTACTTCTAATATGAAACAAAGTCTCAGATTTCAAATTCTGTCCATTGTATTGCAGTATTCAAACAATAAATGCTGTTTTGGCGCTGTTTAATGTGGAGTGACAGATCGCTGTAGCGCCTCAGATCAAAGCGGCAGCACGAGGCGCACGTGAACTGATCATCTCCTCAACATTAATACCAGGTTCAGCACAAAATAAACATGACTAAATATCCGAAGGTAAGTTAAAAGAAAGTGTACAACTTTACAATCCATATCCTGCCTCATGTAATTGCTCAATCTGTGTTTCAGACACGCAAAGACGCCAATATAACAGCTTGTAAACAATATGTCACGTATGTAACGTCACATGATTTACCTCAGAAAAAAAATTGGGTTACCATAAACTCATTAGTCAGATAGAAAAATAAACTGTAGAGAGGGGCATTTTGCTTAACCATATAACAATATAACATATTCATTATAATTTTTACTGTTCTTCAATGTTTAATTTATGTTTGAATAAATCCATCAAGTCAGCCACCAT